AAGACTTTGGCGTCTGATAACATAGCTAATGCCTGATCAGCTGCAGAAAGCATGTGTCTTTCTCTGCGCACCTTTTTATAAAGTTGTGTAAAGTCCACACAAATGCAGAATTTGCCATTGAGCTTTACTACTACACCCATTCTCACACACCAGTCAGTCAGTTCTTCTATCTGGTAAATAACCCCACTCTCTTTAATTCTTCTTTGACTTTTCCTGGAAAAGGTATAAGGATGCACTATGACCCTGAGAGAGCCGAGGGAGTTGGTGATGACACTGATTTTATTTTGTACTCTCTTGACAACATTCCTAGTCCTAAGAAGATGTGTGGATACATGTCCTGTATGGTTTGCTTTCTGCCATTAATGCATTCCAGTTTCAGTAATAGGTATAGTCCTTGTATTGCTGGAAACTCTAGTAGGGGAGTTGTTAGTCCTAGTATGACACATATTACTTGTTAAAGAACTTTCAGTCGTTTCACAATTTCCTGGGGAACTCCCCACAAACATCCAAGTATTGTTACTAGCCCCAAGTAGAATCTTATTTGATCTTTGCTGATCTTCATCTGGGATTGATTATAAGCTTTTGGGAACTGCAGTGACTGCTGCTCCAGTAACAATTTTAAATTTAAGTTTTTGATTGTTTAGATTCATGCTTATGTATAAAGATATTGCCTGTTCTATTGAGGATATAGTCCTTAGAAATATAGACTCACTGTCATCTGATAACAATCCCTCTTGGACAGTTTCCACTGTTCTTGATGACCTGCGTGCTATTGCAAAATATCCCATTTTGTGGCATCTCTTATATTCTGCCTCTTTAGCTGCACATTACTGCCAGCTGTAGCTTGGTGTCTTGCCAGATCTTCCACAGCTTTTCCAGCCATCCTTTCTATTAAGGTTTAAACAAATGGAGTCCAGACATTTGCAGAGAACTCTGTTTACAATTCCCAAATACCGAGTCATCCATGAGCAGGGATCGCCTCCCTATACTGCTTTTCACCCACACACACTGTAGTGTGAGGACATACACAAAAAGCCATTCTTTAAGGAGCAGTAACTAAAGAACTTCCTGACCAGGAAGTTCCCATGTTTAGTAAGCTCCCCACTGCAACACATCCTGATCCTATTTGGTTACCCTGGAGGGCCAGGAACTCTTTAACCACTCCACCCATCTACAATTTAGCCCCTGGTGCACGATGTTGGTAACAGGATATCTGCATTTCTCAGGTTCTGGAAGCACAAGATCTCAGTTCTCATTCCCTTAACAAACCACTCAAGATGTGAACTCATAGAAAGTTAGATAACATAAGATTGTTGTGGGAAAAAAATATTAAAGACTATTAAGAGTATATATTGTTATTGTTAGTTATATTGATACTTGTACAAGAAGATCTTTTACACTTTATTGAAAATGAGTATTAGACCGATAAAGCAGAAAAAAAAACATGACCAATGCAATAAGTTACCAATGAGTGCTAGAAAACTTTTAGGTTTATCAGATTGTAACAATAACCAATTTGAAAAATAGAAGTCTTTTACTGTATATAAAAAGTAATTAACATACAGACCAACCTACAGTATACATGATGTATTGTATACACTATAGGCATTTGTTAGAAGTAAATGATTAAACTGTCAGAAATGCAGTGATTTCTGAAGTAGAAATATAAAGTTCAAGCCAAAGAGAATTACCATATGCATAAAAGTTCCTTCAGTTTTGTTAATAATTCCTGCCTGTCTGCTATTCAGCACGTACATTTCTTAGACTCTGTCCTAAATCAGACATCTTTTCTTTCAAACATTTGACGTTCTCTAGTATACTAGTCAACTGCACAGTTTAAAAAGTGATTTCTCTGTGTTAAGTTTTATTTCAATCTCTAAAATACAAACTTATTTCAACAGTTTTTAAATTTCAGATTAAAGGGTTTAATTATAAACTTCTCCACAACTCTGAAATGGAGATGTTTTATATTGGTAAAAACACTATAACTAATAATATTATGAAGTATGACTTTTATAGTTCAAGCCAACAAAATTAGATACTGGGCAATTTAAAAGAAGAGTACCTTGCAGTGCAAGGAAGATGTTAGAATAGGAATACACATACAGCTCAACAGATTATGTATCAAAATGCATACCTGGACAGAGCACTCACTTTCCTAAGAAATCCCACACAAGCCCCTGTAGCTGGAGCATGTGCTGTCACTATCCCTAAACAGAAGACAACTTGCCCTTTGGAAGCTGCACAGGCGAGTAGGGAACAAGTCGGAGGAAGCAAGTTTGCAGAGCTGCAACTCATCTTTTTACCCCAACAAGGAATGGGTGGAGAGTAGGTAAAGCCTTGGCTCTGCTTTCCCTCAGATAACCTGCCAACAGAGCTGAGCCATCACAAGGGGGAAGTATGCAGCACCTTGTAAAAAAACTGCAATAGTTTACTTCTCTCTGGAGCAAGCGGGAATCTCTGAGTCACAATTCCTTCACTGGTGTACCACCAGGTGGCACAGCCATACATAGATTTAGACATTAGGGACAACATTGTCAAAAGAGACTAGGAATTATAAGTGTCTCAAACTTTGGGTCATATTAAAGGAGCCTGATTTCCTAAAAAAGGTTAAGCACCAACATTCTGAAAATCAGGCTTCTTCATTGTTTCTCTATACCTAGAGCAGATTACTTTTCCTGGTGTGCTCACCACACATTCCCCACCCCTTAATGCACATAAACATGCAGGAAGGTGAATATCCTTATGCTTCTTTGTTCTCCCACACGGCAGTCTAAAACAAGGGATAATCTAGCCCTTACATTCTAAATAGATGAACCGACAATCTATTTCTAAATCAACATTTGTGTTTTATTTTGGAATAGTTAATCTGCTTCTTTGTGGAATACTTTCTTATGTACATTGTATATCTAGGGCTCAATCCTGAGAAGTGCTGAGTACTCTAGCTCTGATGCATGATACATGTGCTTGACTTTAATCATGTGAGTAGTCTCAATGAAATTAACTGGATTCCACACAGGGGCCAGGGGCCATTCTAGCAGATCTCAATGCAAGTTAGAGGCTAAAATTTATAACATTTTATAGCCACCATCTGGTCATACTCAGCTATTCAAATAGACTGTACACAACGTTTCTCAGAAATACGTCACCAATTTTGTCACACTCAGTATACATGTGATTCATTTCTTTGTGTGAAATTGAAGCAAAACATGTAAAATATCCACTACTCATTAGAATCCTGGCCATTTGCTCTATAATCAATTGTCAGTAAATGACTGAAACTGCTTCATGTTCAGACTAAGGTTCACATAAATCAAATAAAAATATCATGCAGGAAATCACATTCATATGTATGAAGAAAACCATATGATCTATTCTTATATTTATGTCTCTGTATTTGATTATATCCTTTTATTAACTATGCTGGAAGTAAACTATTAAACATATTATTTACAGTGTGGGAATCTAAATCTTTATTTTGCCAAATTTCCCAAAACAAGAAGGTTTAAAAGGAAAATTGGGGCCCAATCCTACCAGGTGCTTGGCACCAGTAACTTCTGCTAACTTCAGCAGATGTCAGTACTTCTTAGCACATTAAGGCCTGCAGTTACTATAATTCCTGCTCTGGGCAAGGAGAATTTTCTATATATATATATGTATATCAAAAATGTCACAGTAACTTGTGGGTATTGTGCACATCAGGTACATGTATTTATTATGCATTTATCTACAAAATTTACCTATCATCCATCCTACATCTCCTGGGCACATGCAAATTACTCATACAATTATATATTGTAATAATAGTAAATATATTGTATAGTAATATAATATGTTGAACAGAATGTTGTTTTCGTGATTTTATTCTTAAGCATTTTATTCTACACCATCCACAAGCAATTATTGGTAACCAGATCTTTGTCAAGTGCCTGCAAAAAGTAAATAAATAATTACAGTAACTTTTGAACATCTGAGTTTCAAACCACGTAAGAAGGATGTTTTACCTCTAATTCACACAAGCCTCCTTCTGTAAAAAACAGATCTTGGCTTTCTCCCTCCAATAACAATTGAAATAACTAGTGGGTCTGTTTTGTAGCAGGATCTTTCTTCTGGGACAGTGCACCACTTTGTCCAGTAGTAGCTGATAGATTGGCAGGATCTAGCAACAGTTATACTGGGACCCACTGAACTTGCTTTTGATTTATGTGGCCCCTTGGGGCTCTCCTCTCACAACACAACCACTGGAATACACTTTTGAAACACCCGAACACACAACATTGCTTCCTTCCTTCCTTCCTTCTTTCCCATAAGAGTGGCTACTCTGGGATAGGAATGGAGAAACCTCACAGACTCAAGAACTTCACATATACAGTACAACCTGGGGCACAATCTGCAGGAGGAGCTTTACAGTACTGTTCACTTTGAAAGGAACAAGATTAGTGGTTCCTATAGCATCTCTCCCTCCATTAGGGAAAGGCTGAACAACTTCCCCACATTTAAGAAGATAGGATACTTGCCAACCTTCAAAGGATACCTGCCAACAGAAGAATGTGAGGTACCCCAGAAAAATACCCAAAGAAGATTTACCACATCTTTCCAGAATTTCTCAGCGGTATACTGTACATGCTGTTCCAGGCAAGGACAAATGTCTGGAATGGTTCTTATTTGGGTTCACCTAATACTAATACAGTATCAGTAAAAAAGCATAATTACTCCCATAATGCAATATCTCACCCAGGTTTTGCAGACAGGGATGTTACTATGTAAACTGTGTGGGAGTTTCCCTATATATACACTCTTTGATATGTAGACTACCAAGCCTTTTCTAGCCAAAAGGAGGAGATTCCAAATCTGCTTCAAAGCCAGCACATACACTTGTTTCTTAGGTACAACTCGTGAAGTAATGTGAATTGACTTTTTTTGTTATTTTAGGTCTTTCCACAATGGAGTTCACTTAATAAAAAGGCCATTCAGTATAAAGCAAATAATACAAAAATTACCTTTCTAGCTCAGCAATTTTCTTATCTTTGTCATTCTTCTCATTCTCTACTTCCTTGAGGATTTCTAGAAGTCTGTCAACCTCAGCTTGAGCTTTACCACATTCTTCTCTGTAGTAAGATGCCTCTTTGTCAAGCTGTTTCATTCTGTCTGCAAATTCTGGGTTCAGTCGAGCTTCTTCTTCAGCTTCATGAGCCTTTAGTGTTAAGTTAAAAAACAACAACAATCATTTAGATAGTTTGGTGGCGCTACTTCTGCAGCCTCAGAGTTCAAGTCTGCATGAAAAAAGGATTATGGGTATTTTTGTCAGTTGGAAACGTATTTCCATAGAGGCACAGCAAAGAGAAATGAAAATCTGTCTGCATTCTTTCTATAATCATCAGAGGTTTGTATTCACAAAACTGCATCATGAAGAAAAAATAATAGATAGTAACAATTTAAAGGAAGGAATCAGTGCTGTTTTTAAAGGTAAAACTAGAAGAATGCTTTCAGCTGACAGTTTTAACCCAAAGCCTTTTTTTCTACTGTTAATACTTAACCTGAAACATCAGAGGAACAAGCCCATTGGTGAACATGGCACAAATAAATATACCTGGCAAACACATGCATGGGTGGGTGGCAATTTCACAGACAAGAAAGAACACAATGAAAACAACAACAACAGTGTGGAGTCCTGTCCTACTCCCACCAGAACTAATGGGAAAGCCCCATTAACTTCAATGGGAGCAGGATTGGGTATAAAAGTGTTTTAAACTGTTGGCTGAAATAATCACAGACAGATGGAAACAACAATGCATTGCAATGCTTAGCCTACCCCTTGTTTCCCATTATTCCTAATTGGCATCTTCAAAGAGCAGGCAGGAAAAAAACAAGTAGTTTAACCACAGTGCACATTAAACATAGAAAATTCAGAGAAAATGTACAAAAAATTTACAAAAATTAATTAGAACAGTAGGTCTTCCTGCTATCTTACTAAACAGAGCAGATGTTGATTTGTTTTATTTTTAATTTCAGGGAATAAACAAGGCAAGCAAGCAATGAAACAACTGCTGGTCAAAATGAAACATGCATGTTTTGAAAAAAAGATCAGTACCACGAACTACTACGGTTAGAAGGTTGACATTCTTTGCAATGATTTAGTAGAAATTTTTTAATATATATATTTTTTTAAAGTTTTGTGTTTAAAGGAGGAAAACAATAAATTAAATTACTGAAGAACAAAAATATTTTGTTTCTGCATGTAACATAATTTAAGCATGAGGATAATAAGGAAATAATGATGCTATCAAATTCTATTTTTCTACTTGGGGATTTCTATTCACACAGGAGATCTAATTGTGAAAAGAACAAGGAAGTGACATAAGAAGCTCACTATATTTGTTTTTCTTGTTACTCCAACCTGCCCCTCTAGACAATATTACATTCTTAGGGTACAAGCTTCACACAGATGCCGGGATCTCCCTACACTGAGCTCATTGCAGGGTCTGGTACTCAGAGTATTTCAACTATATTGTTCTTGTGGCACATTTACCAATAAAATATTTTTTATCCTTCAGAAATCCACAAAGTTGATAAATATCACACCGCGGCGCAGATTAGCTACAGTCAGTGATGAGCTGCCAAAATCTTAACAACCGGTTCCCTCCTCACCCCACGAGGGAGTCGTTGCCCGCCCCCCGGGACTCCTGCCCCATCCAACCCCCCACGTTCCTTGATCCCCTACCCCCACCCGGGATCCCTGCCCCATCCCCCCTGACTGCCCCCAGAACCAGGCAGGAGGGTCTCGTGTGCCACCGTATTGGGTGCCCACCCCGCCCTTAAGAGCCAGAGGGACCTGCCAGGGTGCCGACTCCATGAGTGCTCCAGGGCTGGAAAACCCACAGGGAAAATTTGGTTGGTGCAGAGCACCCACCGGCAGCTCCCCACCCCGCGCCCAGCCCCAGCTCACCTCCGCTCCGCCTCCACCCCTGAATGCACCGCCCCGCTCTGCTTCTCCACCCCCTGGCTTCCCGTGAATCAGCTGTTCACGCAGGAAGCCTGGGAGAGCTGAGAAGTAGGTGGCGGCTACATGCTCAGGCCCAGGGTGGCGGGGGTAAGCTGGGGTGGGGAGCAGTTCCCCTGCGTGCCCCCCAGGTTACCTGCTATGGCACGGGTGGCCCTCCTCACGTCCCCCCACCCCAGCTCACCTCTGCCTCCCTGGGCCTGAGCGCGAAGCCACCGCTTGCTTCTCAGCCCGCCCCGACTTCCCGCCCGAACAGCTGATTTGCGGGAAGCTGGGAGGAGGGGGAGGCCGAGAAGCAGAGCGGGTCGGCGCATTCAGGGGAGGAGACAGAGTGGAGGTGAGCTGGGGCCGGGCGCGGGGCAGGGAGCTGCCGGTGGGTGCTCTGCACCAACCAAATTTTTCCCGTGGGTGCTCCAGCCCGGAGCACCCACGGAGTCTGTGCCTAAGGCGCTACTTTTTGATGTGATCAGTGGAGGGAGTGGCTGCTCCCCCTGTAGCTATGCTACCCCACCCCTAGGAGCCAGAGGGACCTGCCGGATGCTTCCTGGGAGCTGCCCCAGGTAAGCACCGCCGGGACTCCCCACCTCGGCTTTGCACCCACCAAAGAAAACCCAAATTCCCTGAAGCCCAGACACACACTATACCCACTTCACCACACTGCTTTACAGAAATAGTCTCTTTAATCATTATGGATGCTTTAATTAACGTTAGTTTGCATGCCAACTTTAAATTAAAATTGTACACGTTTGATGCTGCTTTATATTATTGTAACTGTGAAGAGCGTTATATACATGTACTGGATGTTGAAGGCAAAACAGTCATGTTTTCAATTTTTCGTGTTAAAATTAGTTGTGTAAAATGAAATCACTTGGAAGACTTTTCATGTGAACAATAATAATTCCCGGCGGCTCCAGGAAGGGGAAGTAAATGGCATCAGGAGACTCTCTATTCCCCTTTGCACTCCTGTTCAGTAGCCAGGAACAATAAAAGCCCAATTATTCCCCCAACAAAAGAACTATGCCTAGCCTGCCCAGTATTCAAGACACTTCAAAAGGGGAATGGTGAAAGCAGAGCCAGGATTCCACACAGCAGAGGCACCAAAGCTAGCTGGGCATGCATGCAGAAATACGCTTCACTCACAAAAAGGTATAGTTGAAGGTATATTCCCCTACATACTGGCAAATTCCATGAGGAATTCCGCCTTCCAAAGGCACAATTCCTCCTGGATACGTTCCCCCTGGAGCAATGCATCTCCACACCACTCCAAGCACGAAACAGTGCCTATAAAACTCGAGTAAGCCCAGAACTGATAAATTACTTACCCCACCCTACCAAGGCTCTGAAGATGCTTCACAGAGATGCATAACAATTGAAATAATATAAAAGCACAATGCAAATACCAGGATAAAAACATTCTAATCTAAAAACACTAGGAAATTAAATACTGGGCCCAGTATTTGAAACCATTATTAGGTTGTCCCTACTTGAATGGGATTACCCATTCAATAGATTGGGACTAATTGGGAGAATAAGGGTTGTTTTGCAGAAGGAATGCAGGATCAAACCCATGCACACTACTAAATGGAAGGAAAAAAGGAAAGGTTCTAAATATATGGAGGGCTGTTGGAGCAATATCATAAAACATCTTTGAAACAGAAAATTTTTCTGGTGTTATTCAAAATTTGCAAAGGACAGACTGATTGGTTGTAAATAGAGAGTGAGGCTATGTCTACGCTACAGCCTATGTCGGCAAAATTTATGTCGCTCAGGAGTGTGAATATTCCGCCCCACTGAGGGACTAAATTACACCGACATAAGCACTCATGTGCACAGCGGTTTGTCAATGGGAGACCTCCCACCAACATAATTTATGGCACTTGCGGAGGTGGGGTGTTTTTATTCCAGTGAGAGAACTCTCTCCTGTCAGCATAGAGCATCTTCACCAGACGTGCTACAGCTGCACAGCTGTACCAGTTCAGCTGCGCTGCTGCAGAGTAGTACGTATAGACATGGACTAAGTTCACAACTAAATTATTGAATTCTCTCGCATTGGGGACAAATAGAGAGACAAGGGGGGTGAGGTAGTATCTTTTACTGAACCAACTTCTGTTGGTGAGAGACACAAGCTTTCAAGCCATGCAGATCTCTTCCTCAGGTCTGGGAAAGACACTCTCGGTTTCACAGTTAAATGTGCTAACTTAGGGTTGCCAAACTGTGGCTTGTGAGCCACACGTGGCTCTTTTACCTTTAAAGTGTGGCTCATGGTGGCCCCCCCACCCCCATTCTTCACCTACCAGACTGGGTGGGAGGATGCTCAGGACCTTTGCCTTGCAGCAGGGTGATGTGGTAGGGGCTTCTGCCCAGCGGAGAGGGGGGTCTTGGGGCTTCAGCCCTGCAGGGAGCACCTGCCAGGGCTCAGGGCTTCAGCAGGAGCAGCGCTGAAGCCCCAACCTCTGGCTCTCAAACTTCTGAAGATTGTCGTATGCGGCTCGGAGGGCCAGTAAGTTTGGCCACCCCTGTGCTAACTACTTGCTAAACATTGCGTTCCATCTGAACAGTTCTTTACAAGACAAAATTTTCTTATTAATATTCACCAGTTACATATTAAATATAAATGCCTTTAGCTTGTTTGTTAATTTTAGGGGCTTGATACTATTTTTAATTTGAATAGTACTGTAACCATCTAACAACAGTTTCTCAGTAATAAAAGTTAAATACACACTTCTTATTCCAATTATTAATTGGGATGTTGCATTTTAAAGAAAATATACTACTTGCATACAATTATTGAATTGATACTATGCTGTATTTCGTTTTGGAAAATACATTATTATTTTTTGCAATCCCCAATACATGCAAATGAAGAGACTGTCACACTAATGTTTGAACTTCTCTGATTCTAAAAAGCATTTCATATTTTCAACCCTGGTTTTTATTTTGCATTCCACAAGTAGAGGCAAAATATTTTTTCTGTATAATTACCAAATTGTCTACAGAAATATTAAAGTGTGATAAAGACATATAAAATTAATGAATTTATTATATATTATGCACACATCCTGCATTCGTTTTTCTGTATCAGATGTATGCATTGGAATAGTATACCTTAATTTAAACTAGCCAAAAATATCAAATTAGAGCTTGACCAAAAATAATAATTAAATGAAACAGCAGAAATGTACATGCAAAAAATACTTTCTAAGATCCTTCAAATTTTATCTGGTTCAATAATAAATTAAATAATCTGTTCTCCTCTTAAATTTTAAAATGTCTTTAAATTTAAGTTATTTTTAAGCTAATTCCTGGGACTGAGCTAAGCAATTTAGAACTAAAGTTTGCTTTGGTTTTTGATCTTTCATTGTTTCTGCTCAGTATTTGCAGAATCAGGTCCTCAATATTCAGAAGCAGCTTGAAGGACTAGAAACGATCAAATAAATTGTAATACCATATTACAAAAAAATAACAACCATGCAACTGTTTTCTAACCATTATTTACTAGCACAGGGCATGATTGTATAATTTAAACCGTGTTCACATCTACACACAAAAGGCCCAAATTCTGTTCACATTATTCAGACAAGTAGTCCCTCTAAATTCATTTTGAATATTCTCATGAACAAGGTGACCAGGATTTGGGCCCCTTTTATATTTTTCCACTTTGCTACCCAAAAAACCTAGAAGTGTGAAACAGAGTAATCTGTTTGTTCTGTGCATTTTTAAAATGTAGCTTCAGTGATAAGAGTTCCAGAGTAGCAGCCATGTTAGTCTGTATCCGCAAAAAGAAAAGGCGTACTTGGGGCACCTTAGAGACTAACAAATTTATTTGAGCATAAGCTTTCGTGATAAGAGTGAGTGCCCCAGAGTTGAGCTTATGCTCAAATAAATTTGTTAGTCTCTAAGGTGCCACAAGTACTCCTTTTCTTTTTGCGGATACAGACTAACACGGCTGCTACTCTGAAACCAGAGTTGATAGTACTCTGTGGACTAACAAAGGTTTATCATTCTACTGAAAAAGGAACAGGCAGTATGAGGGAACAAAGGCTTACTTAAAAATTGATTGTTAAATGCCAGAAAGGTTTAAAATGAAGATTAGAGTTCAACAGGACTGTATTTTGCCATCCACTTTATATAAAGTCATTTATCTCATATATGGAAACACACATTTGGCTAGCTTTCTGTTAATGGCAATCATGTAGTCTAAAGAACAAGTCTTTAGATCAGTCTGAAAAAATATTATTCTCACATTGTCAAAAATAAACACAGAGGGAAAAATAACTAAAGAAAATGTGCATTGAGGATAAGATGTAACTACCTGCTACATTAATTTAATATAAAAGATTTTCCATCCAGTGGTTTTGAACCACTGAGAGATAGTTCTTGTAAAAAAGAAGTATGCAAAAAGTTAAAATTGATAAGATTTGGGATACTATATGCAAAAAGGTTAATGGTCAACAAATAGCAATCACTACAGCAATGTGATTAAAACTGAAATAATGAAGGGAGTGGTCTACATAGAGCAAGAGAAAAGGTAACCGAGGAGTCAGCAATAAACAAAAGGTGTGCACACTAAGAGTGTGGAGGATGTGTATGAAAGTATGTCGTCTACCTATGAAACAATCATGTATATGACCCAAACTAATATAAGGAAACAATGCCATTGTACAAGAGTACAAACCATTTGATCACCACAGAATGTTGGATGAGAAAGTGGGTATATTATTAGGTTTTATGTTCTCTATGAACAAATTATGAGTGAATTTCAAATGTAATTACATGATTTTCAAGAAGTAAATATGGTAGATTCTATGGGATCTATTCCCCCATTTATACACATGAAATTTCCATTACATCAGCAGAAATACTCAGCATCAGCAACAGAACAACGGACCCTAAGGATGAAATCCTGGCCCACTGAAGTTAATGAAAAAAAAAACCCATTGACTTCAGTGGGACCAGTGTCACCCCAAGTGTATAATACCATATTTTTATAGAACCCTATAAAATCAAGTTCTATCACACCTTCTGATTGGAATTACATGGTAATTATATTTAGAATTACTATGTAATCCGCAGGTCATAAATTGCTATGTTATCACAATCCAGTTACATCTTTATTTCTGCCCTGTGATGCTCACAGCATATTTTTAGTGTTAGTTTGTACCAGCCAGAAAATCTTCTACAGATAAGAATGTGTTTGTTCTTCCTCAAATTGAAAAATGAATACAATAGAGACAAAATAAAATTGCTTAAGAAACTATATTAAAGAAGGCATCAAAGAATAATCCCAAACAAACAAAAGTATTATTACATTTTCTTGTTTAAATTATAGAACAACATTGCAATTTGTTTTCATCATTCTATATTTTCAGCCTTTTCTTGGCAAAAATATGTTTTTTAAATGTATAAATACTGAACATGCACATTCTTTTACTGAAAAACTGATCTTTTGCCTTCTGAACTAATGTGATCATACTGCAACTTTACAAAAATATGCTGAACAGACATTTACTAGGTATTATTACTGATATTATCAATTGAGATATTATAAATAAATCACTGCATATTATTTTGAATTTGAAGGATCCAGTAAAGTATTCGATGAGCATAGCAGTAAAATAAAATAAAACAAAAAACTATCTTCTGCATGCTTTTAAAAAAATATATAATAGAGAAGTTGAGGACCTGAAGGCAATGACATTTGAACTTTGGAGGATGTTATATTAATCCAATTACCAGTTAATACATATCATATTCAAAAGAAATGGCCTTGAAGTCCACAAAGCTCATTTATTTTGACATAACTAAAACAGGTGATCATCAAAAAAGTTTTTGCAAAGCTCCATAGCGGAAGAACACAACACAGTGTCAGGTCAATGGATCCTCATGCTTTCATATGTTACAGCGGGCACTTTCAGAAAGGACTTACTGGATTGTACATCTGATTGAACAACTGTTCAGCTTGCTACATTGCAAAGTTGGGAAGGAGTGAAGCATAGACAGGAAAAGAAGGAAAGATCCAGGAAAACAGCGTTAGCTCAACAAATCCAGTGCATTTGCACAGAAGAACTTGTCATAAAAAGTAGAAATTTAAGTTTCTAAACATTCCTCGGTGAAAGCGAGAGGCACTGGGGAAACATAAATGTTGACTTTGGCTTCTAAAAAAGAATAGCTGAAGTAAAAAATTTAAGGTTTGTGTTACTTTCCCTTTCTCAAGTTAAATAACCCATGAAATAAAGAAAGGTGTCCACTTTTGATGATACATTAAGTGCTAGTCTCAAGCAATGAATCACTAGAAGCGCTTTTAGCCAAGGCTGCAATTTATCACAAAAGTTTCAAAGACAGTAATAATAAAAGATTAATTAGACTTTATCACTAAATTTATGGTTTTTATTTTGTATCAACACAAGCCTGAATTTTTGATTCAATATGACTTTTGAACAGTACAGCTTGGCAAACAGTAGTTTAGCGACAGCAAGTACGTCAGTAAGCATGGAAATTTAAAATCCATGATAAACAACAAAAGAAGGAAATTCTAAAGTGGATAATAAGATTCAGGAAAGCAACATAAAAAATAATTAACTACCTATGAGGTAATTCCTGCTGTTCCATCATAATTAGCAAAGGAAAATAAGTAAAAAAAAAAAAAATGCCTGTAGAGTTTTGGCACAAAAGTGTTGGGAGCTCTCCACTCATTTTGTTCCCATCAATTCCAAATCATAATCCTTGTAACAAAAGGCTTAATAAGCATGCTCATGGTTTTAAACAATTTTGGTGTACAGTAAAATACAATATGAACACAGGAGCAATTATTCTTTTTGAATGCTCTCCTATTTATTGGTTTTTAAACACATATGCTATTTCAATTAATAATGGGGCTGCAGTTCAGTTTCTTGTAATCAAATATTTCAAGTCTGCCTCAGGATTTTTGTTTTACTTCTGAATATATTCTTTCTGAGTCTGCATATTTTCTCCCCCAGAAATACAAGTATTGTATAGTGTCAAGTATATAATACTGAGAAATAGTTATAGTCAAACCCTGGGAAAAAGATCTTGGAGAAACAAAATTTTATATATAGAGAGATATATATAGACATATATAGATAAAGGAGGAATATAAATATTTGATAGATAGATATCATCAAAAAAAGGAGGAATTTAAAAAATAATTGAAAAAGGAGAGGAACAAAATTCCAAGGCAAAACTGTTCCTCGTCACAAGTTTGATTAGGCGTTGTATCCCATAAACACTTCTTCGGGGCATGCTTAGGACTATGACTTCTCAGAACTATTCACTGTTGCAAATATGTTCTGGATTAAATCAATGTTTAGGAATAAAAATTGATACAACTAAAGAATCATAGCTAACGCTGAGCAAGTTTACTAACAGTACCGCCACTCTGATTTATTTATTTTTTAAGAATGATAAATGATATGCAAGTTGTTAATATTTTTTAAAACGAATGGATACATATTTGGAGTTACTTTTCAGATTATGTCCAATGAAGTGCCACATCTCTCACTTCTGCAGTGTTGAGTGTTCATTGATACAGTGAGCATCCATATGGGACATGCAGATTTGTACACTGTGTATAAGAATGAAGAAATGTATACGCTCCCTCCCATCTCCATTCAACAAAATTCTAAAATCCTCCCAAAACTGACTTCTGTTTCAGTTAGTTTGTTAACGGATAAAATCAGCGACTGAAGGTAGGTTTCAATTTCTGGAGAGTGAGTTACTTTTATCACAGGATATTTTTAGGTTTAGCTGAAATTAAAGCTTTTACTAAAGTAAATGTAAAATTAAAAATTACTGTTTGCAGTCCATTGTCATTAACAGCCAGTATTTCTATTCTCCTAAACACATCCAACAATGTTGAATCTGCATGTTATTGTGGAAATACCAAATCTCCTACAAATCTTGGGCCAGTTCCCATTGGGAATTCATGTTGTATTTATGGTATAATCAAACAATTATGTTTTCAACTTTCATTTGGTAACCCTTTGTATTTTATTCATAAGCACCATACTTCCTTTTTATTTGAAAGGAGGCCCAGACACTTACAGACTTTTATAACTGCTTATTTTTCCATTACTAAATGATGTGTTGATATATACACTCATAGATGTTGATTTAGAATTTCAACTATTTCAAGCAGATTTCAATTTTTTTTAAGATGACGGGTGCTTTAGCATTCTAAAGAACTATTTATTACAAAAAACCTCTCAAAAATAAGGCCACTGAAAAAATATATTTTGAACATGTGAATTCATTTGAACTAATACCGCTAAAAGCAACAACATGAAATATGAAAGTTAACCATAGAAGTAATAATATTTAAATTATAATTATCTGAACTATAATGCAAATAAAGATTCTTCACACCTTAAGTAAATAATATTTATATTTCTTTTAATAAAATAAAAATGATCTCTGGCTACATGCTTTATGTAGGTATTTTAAGTCTAGTGCAAATGGCATTGATAACCTATCAAATATTTACAAGAATTTAAGATTTTGTTAAAAGCTCTCTGCATGCAAGTTTATTTGAAAAGATGCCCTCCTCTCATCCAAAATACGAATGGCCATAATGGGTCAGACCAAATGTCCATCTAGCTCAGTATCCTGTCCTCCGACAATGGCCAAAGCCGGGTGTTTCAGAGGAATGAACAGAAGAGGTAATCGTCAAGTGATCCATCCCATTACCCATTCACAGCTTCTGGCAGACAGAGCCTAGGGACACTATCCCTGCCCATCCTAGCTAATAGCCATTGATGGACCTATCCTCCAGGAATTTATCAAGTTCTTTTTTGAACCCTGTTATAGTCTTGACCTTCACAACATCCTCTGGCAAAGAGTTCCGCAAGTAGACTGTGTATTGCGTGAAGAAATACTTCCTTTTGTTTGTTTTAAACCTACTGCCTATTAATTTCATTTGGTGACCCCTATACGGTCATCGCAACAACTGTATATATAGTGTGTTTTATACATGTAAAATTCATATCAGATCATAATATTTTGAGTGTGCTCTTCTAAAGTATACATTACAGCACATATACCTACTCTAGAAGTACGTAATAAAATCAAAATTTTAGGTAAAAATATAAGAATCAAATTCTGAAAGCCTTGCTCATGCTTGAGTAATACCTTACTCCACAGGTAGTCCAACTGAAATCAATGAGGCTAACTATTCCACATGAGGAAGGGTATGATAATCTGGACCTAAAAATGTCAATATTCAAGCTAAAATAATCAACCTCTTCTAGATCACATAAGCATATAAATCCACGTCCAAAGTATTTTGGGGTTTTAAAGTTTTATCTACACTTCTCACTGGCTTATTTAATAGTTGCAGAAAGAAAATATGATGCTTAAACCCACTTAGTATGTCATGAGTTTGGTGTTCAAACAATGAGTGCAGACACTACCAAATGACACAGCAAAAAGTCAAATAAACAGATGAAAGAAAATGTGAAAATTTGGAGATCAGTTAGTATTGTAATGCAGTAATCTACATATAATTATTCGATAAGTATTGTATTTCTAAAATATTTGTCTTTAAATGTTTGCTTCTACTTCTTGGTGGATATAAATAATGCCAACTGTGATATATTAAACACTATTTTCTTTAACTACCTCAAATTTAAATTCATTAAATAAATAAAATTAAGGAGAATTTCAATATAAGACCTAGACATTTTTCACTAGAAAGAGTAGTTTATATTCGTACATATAGTAATGGCTGGTTTCTATAACTCCCCGCCCACCCCAGTATTTTCACCAGTTTTTTTCCAAGTACCCCTTAGACAGGAAACTTAAGATAATTTTTCAGGCTCACAGACAGCTTTTATACATGCTTCTTAAGAAAAAGTCAACATTGTTTGATGCTAGTATCAGCAGATAGCAGAAGACTGCCAGATTTTAAAATGGACCTCTTGCTTCATTGCCAGTTATATACTAGAGAAGTGAAGAGTTTAGTCCATTTCACAATAAGAATTTTCTTAGAAGGCACTTACCTTTTTCAGCTGTGCTTCCAACTTACTACATTCTTCTTTCTTTTGTTCTATGGCTATTTCTAAAGACTTTAATTTGGAGTCTCTTTTCAGCCCTGTTGATGCCAATGATGATGCATGTTCTTTGAGGTCAATTAAATTAGACTGAAAAATTATCCAAAAAAAGAGGAAAGAGATGGTGTTAGAAATTGCATTGATTCTAGCCACGAAGAGCGTAAATTATCGTTATCAGCTATGTTTTCAGTCAAAAACTTTGTTTACATAGTACATGTGTGCAGACATGGGGATGGGTATTTACAGCATAGTACAATATTATTAGGTAATTTTTAGAAGGTTAACAAAAAGTTGAATGTTTATGAAAAAATCACTTGTTTTTGAATATGCCATGTTCCCTCTGCTGAAAGAATAGAGGGTAATTTCATTGGGGAAATGGATGATTCACCTGTATTTTAAATGTAATCCTTGAGAATTAGAAAATAGTCGATTCTATATTTTACACTGATCAGTGTTCTCCTTTATATTTAGTTTAACAGATTTTACTTTTGCCAGTTACCCTATGATAGAAGGGTGGCGGTAGCTGCACACCTCAGTATTCTACATATTCATCTGTACTTAAAATATTATCAACTTCTACTGTTAATTTTGTCTGTTTTACTTATAATAGCCTAAGAAGCTTTAAAATAAATTAGAATCATAGAGGTTGAGCCCCAGAAGGGACCACTGGGTCATCTAGTCTGACCTCCTGTATATCACAGGCCACTAACACCTGCCCAGCACCCACACAGTAAACTCAAACAATGAAATTAGACCAAAGTATTACAGCTCTCAGGAGACAGGCACAGAAGCGGAGGGACTGGGATTCACCAAGACGCGAGACCCCTGCGCCTGCCGCCCACCCCTGACCCCGCCCCAATAGCAGGGAATTGATTAAGTGAGATAAATACAGATAATCCTGCAAGTGACCCACAACCCGTGGACTTCTCACCATCATTTCTTGTAGCCCCTGCAAAAATGGCAGCAGGCTTTTATTAAAATCATCATCATCAAGCTGGTGGTGGATTTAAAAAAAAAAAAACACCCGAAGATGGATTTGAATAGAGAAAACATTTTCCATTAATTCATCACAACTTTAATTACTTATAAATTCTCACTTAATATCTTTACTTTAAAGGGTACTCAGACTCTACAGTAGAAGTATTCAAGAGGAGAAAAACCAAGAAGTATCTTGCAGCATGACATGAATAGGATTTAATATTATCACATAGTTTATAAGAATCTAATGAAGTGAGCACAGAGCAGTGGTATGCAATGGCACACCAAAACTTTAGTAGAGAATCAACCAGACCAGGGACTCACCAAGTAAAACCCCTTATCAATAATCAGTCTGACTGAATCAAATACTTGTGGACCTTACTCTCGGAAGGTCGTGCTCCTGCTAAGCCCATTAGTTCAAATAAAAACTGAAAATAGGACCAGCAGTGGAATACTAAAGCTGTGTCAAACATATGTAAAGGAAAGGAAAGGAATATAAACAAAGAAGAAATAAGGGAAAGAAATATACTGCTTTAGGAGTAAGTTTCTAAAAATAGTTGAAAACCAATAGCTTAAACCAGGTTTCTCAAACTTCATTGCACCGCGACCCCCATCTCACAACAAAAATTACTACATGACCCCAGGAAGCCCCAGGTGGGGGGGCTAAAGCCAAAGCCTGAGCCCCACTGCCTTGGAGCAGGCCTGAAACTGAAGCTTGAGGGCTTCAGCTTGAGCCCTGAGCAGTGAGACTCAGGCTTCGGCTTCAGCCCCAGGCCCCAGCAAGTATAACACCAGCCCTGGCAACCCCATTAAAACAGGGTCATGACCCACTTTGGGGTCCCGACCCACAGTTTGAGAACTGCTAGTTTAAGCAATTGGATAGTGTCTCTAATTAACTTGTTTATATCAGTGAAACTTGTTAGAAAGATCAGAACAATAAAGAAAAGGAGTACTTGTGGCACCTTAGAGACTAACCAATTTACTCCTTTTCTTTTTGCGAATACAGACTAACACGGCTGTTCCTCCAGAACAATAAAGATTTTTAATTTTACTGCAAAGGCTGACCTCCTTCTCTGTTAGTTCAGCTTGTAAAGCATTAACTTTCTCCTTCAAGTCTTTGTTTTCCTTTTTGAAGGATTCTATTTCTTCCAGTCTTTCTCGGTCATCCCGTTCCCTCTGCTCCTTCAAGCGCTCTATTATTCTCTCCTAACAATAAGAAAGAGTAATAAAAATGTAAGGTATGGTACATCAATTCAGAAAACAAAAACCCTCTTTGTATTAAGTTGCACTGTGAAAATTGATCTTTGGAAGCACATATATCACCTTAATTTTCGAGATAAGGGAAATAAGAGGAGGCTCCATCCAACACTTACTGAAGACAATAGAAATACTTCCACTGGCTTCAATGGGCATTGGATCAGCCCCAAATGCTGAATTGTGGTACCATCCCAGACAAAGTGCAACAAAATTTGATATTAATGCAAAATACATATACTTTAAAAATATTTAGAGAACATATTTGGACAATGCACCTGCTTTGTTGTTAATCCATAAATTATGAATGAATGGTCAAAATGACAAAACCACGTTTTCTACTGTACTCAGTTTGAATTTTCTTATTACTTATTATTTACTTATTCTTATTACTTACTTATTTCTTATTAAAGTTCTATGCTGGTTGCAATACAGTCTTCATGAGAGTTCTAAAGTTTAGTTAACAATTGTCTGGTAATTTAGAATGCAAGCAACAATCTGCCAGTTATCGGTAAAGCTATATTCACAGGTATTACATTTTGAGGCAACTAAGAAAAATATTGAATGAGACAGAGAAAAAGGTACCTTTATTTTGATTGTTTATTGATTTATTAGATTATGGGATAAGTCTCCCATGGAATGTGATGGAAGCCATATCACTTGGGAAAGTTAAACCTGAAATACTACTACACTGGCAGGAAAATGGATGGCATAATCCATCTTTTCTGATTCTTTTGGTGTGCCATTTTAGTGCTCTTGATTGTTTCTTTTTAAGTTCTTTTTATACTGATACATGAAATCTCTATTATAAAAGCAGTACCAACTCTTAAAATACTGCTGCATAGCAACATATGACCATGGCTAGTGAAAGTCTAATAGTCAGAATGACATACATTCTCTTTCTCTCATGTTAATTTGCTCTATGCATAGCTTGTTATACTGTAATACATGTAATGTTTTATTCATCAGCTCACTTTATTTGTAAAAAGCTTAGCTATCGTGTAAGGGGGGGAAGCATTCGTTCATTTACAGAACTTATACTGAAATTTATTATTAAGAATATCTAGTTATTTAACTGTCCTCTCTAGACATTCAGTATAATCCTTCTTAGAGGCTTAGAGGCCCTCCAAAACTGTTCCCTTCCTATCCCCCCGAACTACAACAGAAATCTGTAAAAGGCATAACCTCAACCTTTAAGACACATAGAATGAGAATAAAGTGAGGAGTGTGAGCCTAACAAGTTCAGTTCCCACCCCTGCAGCAGCCCTTCCTTCCTCCTCTCCTTTTTACTCTCCTTCCTCCAATGAAGACGTTCCCCTTCCTTAGCCCACTCTATGAAGCATCAAAAAAGTCCCTTTCCTCCAAAAAGGCAGAGCCTTGCATTCCCCAGCTTCTGTACCACAGTCACTAGTTGCTTTCCCTCACTTTCCCCAAATATCTGCCATGTGTTCTTTCCCCACCACTGTCTTCAGTGGCCATCATGTGTTGTCTGCCTGTTTGCTTCCCAGCATGAGCGATGGTGTTGGAACTGAGTGGTGGGAAAAGTGGAGCATGAGTAGTGTTTCCAGCAGACAGGGAGGGCTTTTCCAAGCCTCACCAATCTTTTCAGCTTCCATGGCTCCAACTTTACTTAAGCACAAAACCCTTTGGTGATAACAAAAGATGTAGGTGTCAATAGAGGAGGTTTGGGAACAAACTGATAAATTAAACAGCAACAAGTCACCAGGACCGGATGGTATTCATCCAAGAGATCGGAAGGAACTCAAATGTGAAACTGAGGAACTACTAACCAGACACATGGAGGATAGCTAATGTGATGCCATTTTTTTTTTCTAAAAAGAGCTCCAGACATCATCTTGGCAATAACAGGACAGTAAGCCTAACTTCAGTGCCAGGCAAACTGGTTGAAACTATAGTAAAGAACAGAATTATCAGACACATAGATTAATACAATTTGGGGAAAGAGTCAACACAGCTTTTGTAAAGGAAATCATGCCTCACCAATCTATTAGAATTCTTTGAGGGGTCAACAAACCTCCGGACAAGGTTAATCCAGGGGATATAGTGTACTTGGACTTTCAGAAAGCCTTTGATAAGGTCCTTCACCAAGGGCTCTTAAGCAAAGTAACAGTCATGGGATGAGGGGGAAGGTTCCCTTATGGATCAGTAACGGATTAAAAGACAGGAAACGAAAGGTAGGAAAAATGGCCAATTTTCAAAATGGAGAGAGGTAAATAGCAGCATCCCTCAGAGATCTGTATTGGAACCAGTGCTGTTGAACATATTCATAAATGATCTGGAAAAAGGGGTAAACAGTGTGGTGGCAACATTTTCAGATGATACAAAATTACTCAAGATAGTTAAGTCCAAAGCTGACAGGACAGGGATCTCACTAAACTGGGTGACTGGGCAACAAAATGGCAGATGAAATTCAAAGCTGAAAATTGCAAAGTAATGCATATTGGAAAACACAGTCCCAACTATATAGGCACAAAATAATGGGGGTCTGAATTAGCTGCTACCACTCAAGAAAGAGATTGTGGAGTCACTGTGTACAGTTATCTGAAAATATCCACTCAATGTGCAGTGACAATCAAAAAAACTAACAGAATGTTAGGAACCATTAGGAAAGGGATAGATAATAAGACAGTAAATATCATAATGCCACTACATAAATCCATGGTACACCCATGCCTTGAATATTGCATACAGTTCTGGTCACCCCATCTCAAAAAAGATATATTGGAGATGGAAAAGGTACAGAGAAGGGCGACATAAATTATTAAGGAGATGAAGTAGATTCCATATGAAGAGAGATTAAAAAGACTGGGACTGTTCAGCATGGAAAAGAAAAGACTAAAGGAAGATAATGATAGATGTCTATAAAATCACAAAGAATGTGAAGGGGTAAACAGCACTTTTTCCTACACATTACACAAAAACCAGGGGTCACTCAATGAAATTGGTAGGCAGCAGGTTTAAACAAACAAAAGGAAATACTTCTTCATACAATGCACAGTCAGCCTGTGGAACTCATTGCCAGGGGATGTTGTGAAGACCAAAACTATAAGTTCATGGAGGATAGGTCCATCAATGGCTATTAGCTAAAATGGTCAGGGATGCAACCTCATGCGCTTGGTGTCCCTAAGCCTCTGAATGCCAGATGCTGGTACTGGATTCCAGGAGATAGATCAGCTGATGACTGCCCTGTTCCGTTCATTCCCTTTGAAGCATCTGGCACTGGCCACTGTTGGAAGACAGGATACTGGGCTAGATGGACCATTGGTCTAACCCAGTATCGTCATTCTTATGTGTTTCTTGCATAAAACCCCTTCAGGATTTATCACTTTCCTGCAGTTTAAAGGGCACATTATATGTATTTACTGGGTTTTTAAAATAATATTCATTTAATGGGGTCTTTTGAATTGAAATAAATATTTTCATTATTTTAATTGTGCGAAGAATATTGTTCTATGGTCTTGTGATTAAGGGGAACGTTTGGAAGTCAGGAGGATCTTCTCCTGAAGATCCCTCATGCTCATGAGCCCACCTGGAAGTGGAACTATTATTAATCTCCAAATGTGAGAAGAAAAATTTACCCATTCACCTAGCTCAGAAGACACCCTGACTCTCGACTATGTCCCCTTCCCAAATCAAACTGTCTCAAAAGCTTTTCAGACATGAATGGCCAAGGGGGAAATAATCTTCATGCTGCAGTGGACCTAGATAGCGTTGGAGGTTAGGTAAACCTGTAACGGTTAAACAGGAGAAAAGAAGGTAGATGATGGAGACCAGGAAAAATATTTTTTTTCCTTTTTCAAAAATCTCAGGAAATTAAACTGAAAAGTCTAAATTAATAGGCTGTCCAGTGCAGGTACTCCATAGGAAAGGTATACAGTGACCTGATCAATTGCTTGGTAAAGGACTTAAAAAGGAGGGATTGTTAAAGGAGCATAATGGGGGGGGGGGGGGAAGGTTTCAGGGCTCCTATGACTAGTACAGTAGGGAGTCAATTCCCCTTTCTTTAGCCCACATTAACCCTCATTTGAGTGGGGGATGGTAAGATCCCAGTACTGCGTTGCCTGGAGGACCTGGATGGAAAAAGAGGGGAACTGGCGAAAGCATGGAAAAGAAAAGACTAAAGGAAGATAACGATAGATGTCTATAAAATCACAAAGAATGTGAAGGGGTAAACAGCACTTTTTCCTACACATTACACAAAAACCAGGGGTCACTCAATGAAATTGGTAGGCAGCAGGTTTAAACAAACAAAAAGATACTTTTATCTGCCAGGTAAGTCCCAGACATCTAATAATAATAAAGTTGCAGCCTGATTAAACCATATCAAGCTTCCCCTGTCCTTCTTTTGGTATAGCCAGACAATGCTAAATGTGTGCTTTACAGTATGTACAATGTGAGCATAGCTGCATGACCGTGAGAATCATAGCTTTCGCACTTCCTAAATTTTGTGTTTAATGTGCAAATACCACTGTATTTACCCACTTTTAGCATTTATTTGTATAACAATGTTGCAAATGAAAAGATGAGGAAGTTATCAGCTATTTGCTTCAGGTATCAAAATTGGATGTTTAATAATGGATAAACTGAGAACTCAGTCATGTCTCCTGCTTGATCTGTACATGTAAAATATGTGCTATGTTTCAGTAGTGATCATTATAGACCTGTTTTATTAGTACTGAAAATATTTGTGCTTCTCCAAGAAGTTTAACTGTTTCCTTCTGTTATACAATATGGTACATCAGGCTATCGCGCTTCCTGTTTCATCAATCCTTCAAAGCAAAAACGTACATTATATTGAATGCTCTGTAATTTAACTGTATGTATTAGCACAAAACTAATGTTTAATAAGGTTGTGAGTTTTTAACGTTCAAGTGAAGGCTTTTTTAACTATATAGTAAGGCTTCACTTGCGGGACTTTTAGTACATACATT